GTTACACGACTGAAGTTCAAAGGGATACAAGTGCGGTATCATTCGGGACCATTCGGGAAAGTGCCCGGTCCAAAACTTAGAGAATATTGACCGGCAATAGAGCATTTTGATTGGTTGATTTTAGTTATTGGCCCTCTGACTGGCCGAGTCGTGTAATAATTGGAATTATGAAGAACAAAAAGCTCTTTTAGATCTTCAGGATAATAGAAACAAATAAGCTCTTGAAAACTACCATAAGAATTTTGTAAAATCTTCCAGTATATAAGGATGCTATCTTTGCTCTCTTGAACAGTTCATCACGACTAGACAGTGGATCATTAAAAGTAAATCGTAAAATACGTTTGATCAAAGACTCTAGTTTATCAAAATTTCTAGAGCCAAAAAAATGCCAAATAAGAGAGCAATCAAGGGCGTAGCCAAGGGGGGTCCTGGGGCGCCCGTGAACCCCCCTTGGTGGGCCTTCTTTAGAGCAAACAACCAACAATATTCATGTGGCGAAAACGCCATGACTATATCTTGGCCGTAAAAGCCATTGTTGAAAAACCCACTTTTTTTAAAATTTCTTTTTTTGTAAAGTATTTTCGTCAAAGGCTCTTGTATTTAGTTAATATGGGCCTTCATGCCACGATAATACGACGGAGCCCGCTGATACACGCGGGAGAGCAGCGGTGTTAAAGGTAAGTAGCCTCTGTGACCCCCCCTTTGAAAAATTCTGGCTACGCCCCTGGCAATATTGAAAGTATGGTAGAATAAAAGCTTTCTATCAACGCAGCATTACATTACTGGTAATAATGTTTTTAAATTGTTTCTAACCCAAGGGTCAAGATTTCATCTAAGGAATTGGCAAGTCGAAAAAAATCAGTGTTACGTTATAGAAGTAATATATATAGCGCTGATAGAATGGTTACATAGGACAGGAAAGTTTTAACCTAAGACATAAAATCCTTTACCTGTTTCGCAGTCTTTCCCCTCAAATCCATTTTTGCAAACGCACACATAGCTATTTTTCTTGTACTGTGCTACGCAAGTCCCATTGTTTTGACAGGGTCCTTTGCTACAAGGGGTCTAAAATGGAACCAGAAGTAATACAGTTAGTCACCAATACACATGAACTTTGCCTTAGAAACGAAAGAAAACCCCGCTCAATAATTATAAACTAGTGCCAGTTCTACATTGTTGTATATGTGTTGTATTTTGTCGATTATGCGTGCTAGTAAAGCAAGTTTTTATTGCAAACTCTGGCTTGTCTGATCAGGTGTTTCTATGAGGCTAGAACTTAATCCAGGCTATGCAGATCTCCGGTCTTTGGCGGGGAAAGTACGATACACCTGATTATGCAAGTGCAACTCATTCACGAACTAATGTAATACAGAAATCAAGCATTAATTATGTGAGGAAAATGTTCCCAAGGAAAGATGGCAATCACCTTCAAAAGAGACTTTCCTCCTCCATATAGCTTTAGAGGAGCTGGATATCTCAGTAGTCTATCTTCTTCTTACGGTGGAACAGAGAATTAACTCTGAAGCGTAAATTAAAGTGCTAAGTGTAACCCATGTAAAGCTCACTAAGCGTTAGCCCTAGTAAAGGGTATTAGGGAACCACACGAGGTAAAGAGAAAACTCTTATGTCCTCGGTGGGAGTCAGTCGAACCCACTACCTTCGGATTAGATCTACTGTTGCTCTGCCGACTAAGCTACCAGGTCGGACAAAGAAAGTCGGGGTCGATTAAGATGGTGAATCGCGGCGAAGAGAAAGTAAAGGCCCGTTTAAACGGTTTCAACATTTGCTTCAACATGCATTCAGCACTTTGTTCAAACAAATGTTCGGTGCGTTTAAACAGGTCGTCCAACATTGTTGAAAACGTAAAAAATGTTGAAAGCTTGTTGAAAGCGTGTTGAATCAAGTTTAAATCGGTTTAAACTTTCATTCAANGCGAGAGGACTGTTGCGAAACCCTGAACGTGTGTGTTGCAATCCTGTCTGATAGCCACCTGTCTAATTAAATGTTTCTCCTGGGGAACTTTCTCCAACAGCACGTAAAACGTTATTAATGTTGAACAGCAGACCACTCACCTGGATCCTGTAATGATGGAATCTCTGGCTGATGAAAACTTTGTCCGAGTTGTTGTACTTGTCTGATGGTAGCAGCTCACATACACGGGTTCCTGTTTTGGAGACACTTGCCTCCAGGTTGTATGAAAAACACAAAGGGTCGGTAAGGCAGGCAAACCCACACTCGCCGTCCTTTTGAACCTCAACTGAATTGATATTGCTGATGTTTAAATAGGAAAACGTTTCTTCTACCATTTTCATCAGCCACACGTTGTCTGGGGATTCTCGACTGAGACCTTTGTTAGAAAAGGTCCGCACGTTTTTGTTACCTATTAAAGGGAAATGATTTCGTCACTTGTAAAGCTATCCTGAACGCTCTCTAAATTGAACAAAGAAATTGAAATAAACAGAAAGTATGCTTTGTAGTACCTTGCGAGGTATGAAGACAGCAAAAGAGGAAGAGCAGTAAAGGCAAACAATAAGGGAGTCTAAGGCGAACCAGCTCCATATCTTTTTTCCTGATATATTGCGTTGTTACCTCACACTTCACTCGACATGAATAATGTAACTAGGTCCATCTTCATAAGTTATAATTCTTAATAGTTACAGGAAGTTTTTGCTATTGGACCAGATCATGATCAATGACCTTTGCGTAATTTGTAAACTGATAATGTTCAAAGGAAGTCCTTAGAGCATCTGTCTTGGTGAGATCTTGATTATTGCTCAACAATTTAACAAAGCCAACTGCACCTGTATAAAATAATCCCTTGACGTTGTTTTATCAGAGAATGGCTTAATTGCTAAACGGATCGAAGTAGAAATTAAAACATTTGAATGTACGGGGCACTGATATATATAACTTTCAACAAGAGATGAATTAGATGTTACATTTTGGCAACATAAATACCCCCATATGATCAATTTTAAACCCAAGCAAGCGAGTTTGAATATCAAAGAGATGGTAATGTCTGGCTCGCCGTTTGTTTCAAAATTACTCAGTTGGTGACATGGAACTTAATTGCAAGAGTTACTGCTAAATCCTGATGGTTTATTTTCCATTATCTATCTTGATATGGTCTTTAGCTTATTATTTCATTTGCTTGCTAACTTGATGCGAGAGATTATAAATTCTCTTGCTTGATATCAATGCTACAGCTTCCGTGATGTTAGACTCTGCCCTGATATCATTTATCACCGTGAAGTTACAGGTTATATACTCTAACTTAATTAGCACTTCGCCACTGCTAAAGAAATGGGTTTAAGTTCCATTTCAGTGTCTTGATATCGTATCTTATTTTCTACGGCCACATTTCTAACTGTATATCAATTTGAAAGGACAAAGGCATCACACAAATTGAATTTTCCTACCTCAACCTCATATCATGTAAATTTCACGCAGTATTTTCTTTTCTTTTCCTTTTTTTTCTTCTTCCTCTAGGTTTTGTTTTGTTTGGTCATGTTTTGTTTTGTTTTGTGACTGTTTTGTTTTGGTTTGCGTTAACTTTTTTCAATTTTGAAAGGGTGAAATCAGTAAGTATGTTCCAAAAAAATGTGCTTGACATCCTTAAAAAAAGCTCTCTTTTCTCTCTGCATTTCACAGCCGCGAAAAGGATGGAATGTAATGCTGCGAAGTATTTACCGTGTAAAAGTTCTTTAACAGTGTTTTTTCGTCTAAAACTGGGTCTTTTGTTCATGTGGACAACACAGCCCAACTGCCACTCATGATCAGAACCAAAGACCTCGCTAAATCAGCACTGAAGTCTCGGTTTTCTCACAATTTTTTTTCTTTCTCATTCTATGCAAATCAGTGCCAACAAGCAAGAACTGTTAGGATGTTACACACTGACACCTACGAGAAAATTCGTCGAGAACGAAAGATAATTATTGAAGATACATGTAACAGAAGTTTATTTCTAAATGTTTTCATTCGACTGACGCGTTACACCGCATTTGCAATACGTATTTCATGATAAATCTCGTGAGACTTTTATTATTGGTAATGGAAAGTTGTCAGAGTGTCGTGAAAAAAACCATAACATTTTTAGTTTCTTCTTCATCTTGTACAATTATTTAAAGAATGGAGTTTCTAATTTTCTCTTTGCGAAAATAACGAAAATGTATTAGGGTTAAGGCAGAAATTGCAATATCAAGGATGCAAATTGATTTCAAAGTAGAAAATGAGACACATCACGGTGGTAAATTGATCTTCAGGCTGATAAAGTAC